ATCCATCCACCCATCCATCCTTGCATCCACCCACCTATCCATCCACACATCCACTTATCCACCCACCCATCCACCCACCCACCAACAGTTATTGAGTGGTCTCCTTCTAGATGCCGGGCTCTGTTTTAGGCACCAGGATGCAATGAAGTACCAGACAGACCAGGTCTTCATCTTCCCTCATGTTGCTTACAGTCTGTTGAGCGCTGGCCCTGACGAGTAGTCGGGCAAAGGAGTACAGCTGCAAGTTTTAAAGACTCTACCCAAGGTTGTGAACGACAGGAAGTGCTGACTTTAGGGATGGGAGGCCTCTTGGGGGAGGTGACATTTTAGCTGAGACCTAAAGGGTGAGAAGGAGGGTCCTCTCAAGGGCATGGGGAAGAGCATTCCAGGAGGAACAGCCAGTGCCAAGGCCTGAGGTGGACCAGAGCGTGGCACACTCTAGGGACGCACAGTGGGCCAAGGAGGGTGGGGCCTCCTTGTGGGCAGGGGGTTGGCTGCAGGACCCTGTGGCTCCAGCTAGGAGTCTGGGGACCTGGGAAGAGGTGGGAGCAGGGGTGTTGGTGAGCAGGCTGGACTGAGGGGACACTCTTCTGCCAGCAAAGGCCACCTGAGCGCCATCTTGGCCATCAAGGGGAACCTGTCCAACAGCGAAGTCAAGGGCATCCGGAGCATCCTGGACATCGACACGGGGGCACAAGCGCCCTCCAAGTCCTTGTTTTCACTTATAAAGGTTGGGTAGCCTTTTTCTGTGGCCTGACCTGCTTGTGAGCGCCTGGAGAGCATCAGATGCCATCCCGTTTGGGGACCGTTCAGACCGGCATCAGCCTTCTGCTGCTGCTTCTGCCCAGCCCTGGCCAAGGCACAGGCCCCTGGGCAGCTGGAAGGACACATGCCCTGGTTAGTTTACCCCTCCTGTGGGGAGCCAAGGAGGCCACACCCGAGAAACTCTCTGTAGAGGGGAGTTGATCTGACTCGCACTGAAGGGAGGCGCTCGGAGGAAGAGTGGCCGAGGTCAGAGATCCTGGGTCACCAGCTGTCTGCGGGGTCCTTCCACTGTCTGCCTCAGAACTGGCTTTCTCAAGCACCCCAACTGGAGCCTTCCCAGCTCCTGGGGCAGCGCCTGAGCCTCACCCCTCCTGCCTCCTTTGGTCCAGGGCTGCACTGAGCCAGGCTCAGCAAGTGTTTGGAATCGAAGGCAGAACTGGACGAGAAAAAGGAAAAGATGGGCTCTTATCTGGGGCCTGGAAAGGAGCCTGAGGGGTCGGGTCACACAACCAGCTGGAGGCAGAGCCAGCGTCAGAGCCCCCTCCAGATGGCCCCCCCACCCCCTGCAGCTCAGACCGCGACCCCTCTCTGATTCCCCACGGGCTTCCCCTGAGGATGGGCCCAGGAGGGCAAGGACCTCCTGAGATTGCTTGGGTTCTGCCCTCCCCAACACGGGGACAGGCCCAGGGGTCCCCCGGAAGGCGTGCTGAGGTCTGGGCGGGGCGAGCTTGACCTCTCACCCCTTGGCCTCCGTATTAGTTTCCTATTAACCACTTGAACAAATCTCCACAAACTTAGTAGCTTAAAACCAGAACTTCTCTTTCAGTTCTAAGAAGGTCAGAAGTCTGACATGGCTCTAGTGGTTAAAGCCAAGGTGTTGGCAGGGCTGGTTCCTTCTGGAAGCTCTAGCAGGGAATTTCCTTGGAGGCCGCCTTCCAGTATTTCCTGGCCCGTGTCCCTCTTCCATCTTCAAAGCCAGCCACACCATGGCTGTTTGAATCCTTTTCACAGCACTCCTCCTCTCCTCCCTCTTCTACTTCTAAGGACCCTTGTGAGTCCTTTTGCCACCCAGACAACCCAGGACCCTCCCCTGATGTTAAGGTCAGCTGATTAGCAACCTTAATTCTGCCTGACACCTTAACTCCTCTTCACCGTGGAAACTTACATAGTCACAGGCCCAGGGATTAGGACGTGGGCATCTTTGGGGTGGCGACATTACTTTGCCCACCCCAGCCTCCATCTGTCGCCTGCTCTATGGGGTGGGGTGCCTTGTCCTACCCCAGGAAAAGCTGGGTTCAATTACCCGCCTTGGCCTCTGCTTACCCCAAAGGCCCTCTTGGCAAGAGGGGCAGTTCAGACGTAGGCTTGTCATGAGGGGGCTTGCAGCCCGCTCTCTTGGGTTTGTCCTCCTCTTTCTAGGTACCGTGGCCAGAAACTGGGCCCATGTAAATGATGCACAAAGGCCTTTGTACATTCGTAGGAGTTAGCGTGTTTGGTGTTAGTTTTCGGTAGCACTGCTTTTGTGTGTGTGTGCTCGGAACGAGACCTGAGTATTTATAGCTTGATATAAAGCTGGTTTCACAAGTGGCTGGGGAGTGATTTATTTGGGGAGCAGGGCCGCGCCATCAGCGACTTTCTCAGCCTCTGGGGGTGTGGCAGGCCTGTCCTCCCAGGCGCAGTGCCAAATCCCCCGTGAGCACCCCCCCCCAGCGCATCCTGCCCTCTTCTCACCTGTGAGTGTTGGAAGGGGCTGCCTTTGGGGCAGGGCATCACCTCACCCTGCTTTCATCACCTGTAATGTGGTCATGAACCTGTCTGGCCTCCCCAGCATCCTGAGGATGAGGGAGAGGGGCCTCTAGACCGTCATTTCAACTCCATGCAAGGGGCCAGTGGGAACTTACTCTCTTATTTCTGGAATTGACCTGGAAAGCTCCAGCTCACCATCAACCCTAGCCTGGCCCAGGATTTGGGGAAGTCCCTGGGAGGGAAAGGGGAACCTCTGAGAATCCATTCCCCAGAGCTGAGGGAGGGGCCCCGAGGGAGCCAAGGGCGGGTGGAGTCTGGGTCCTACAGGAAAGGCCTGGAGGACAGAGGCCCTGGCAGCTCTCAGAGGTGTGGAGTGGGGAGGGAAGCCCTGTCTGATGAGCTCCACCTGTGGGGCCCTTTGGGGTGGGATGGACCCCGCCAAACAGTGGGGAGCAAAGAGGGAAAGGGAGGGGGACCAGCACCAGGAGACCTTCACCAGGGATGCCTGGCAGTTGGGCTTCCGGTGGTCTGGAGTCCTGAGTGGGTGGGAGCCCTGGGGTTTCCGGCTAGTTCCTCCCGCTGAGCAAGAGGGGGAGGGAGGACGCGTGGGGAGGCCAGAAGGGAGCTGAGCACCAGCTGGAAGTTTTAAATCGATATGAGCAGACATTAAAGGACTGAAGAGGATGGATTTAGGCCTGAAAATGCCAGAGCCAAGCCCCCAGCCACCCCCGCACCCCCACCCCCCCCCGCATGCCTGCACTCCTCCCCCGGATCTCCAGCCCACCTGGTCCTCCTACCCCGCCCTCCGGAGGGGCCGCCCCAGCTGGGCAGGCAAAGGGCTGTGAGACTGGGATGCGGGTGGTGCCTCGCAGTCCCTGCTGTTCCTGCAGGAAGAGGAGAGAAGTGTGAGGTCCCACCAGGGTCACCAGCTCAGCTGCCTGGACCAAGGGGTCTGCGCCAGTAACTTTCCACGGCCGCAGGAAACTCCCTTGAAGGGAAGGGTTCTCTCCAGGGTGGAGGAGTGAGTCATCGGTGGAGGAGAGAAAGGGGAGAGCCTGGACAGGGGCCCCAGCATCCAGCCCCTCTTCAGGCTCCTGTGAACTGGAGGGGAGGCCACAGTTAGTGGTGGGACAAGAAAGGCTGGGACCCTCAAGCCCTCCCCCACCCCTGCTGAGGGGAGCAGTGGGGAGAGCTGGCCAGGGCCTCCCTGAAGGGCTGACATTCCTGGAAGGCTCAGAAGGAACAGGGAGCCAGTAAATACACAGTCCAGGTCCAAGTGCAGAGGTGGGGGTGATGGGGTGGGGGGGTGATAGGGGTGGTGATGGATTGGGGTGAGGCTCTCTGTGGCCTGGGGGACTGCTCACTGAGGTGGGGATGGTTGGGCCCCCAGGCTCAGGGAGGCCACTTGGGAGAGGCAGAGGGGGAGAGGGAGCTGCCTGGGCTGAAGCAGGAAGGGGAACCGGGAAGCATTCATATTTTAGGGGAAGAAAGAGCTCAAGGAGCGGGGTGGCTGAGAGTGTGGAGTGGAGGGGGAATCCCCTGCCAAGGGGCAGGCGGGGTGCGGGGGCCTCAGCTGCGGCTGGGAGTTGGAGCTCACGCCAGGGCAGAGGCCAAGCACTGAAGGGTTTTGAAGAGGCCATTTGCTGTGATGTGTGATTTGGAAAGACCTCACTGCCTGCTGCAGGGCGAGTGATGGGGGCAGCGGGGAGGCCAGCAGACCCCTTAAGGGGTGCTGGGTTGCAGGGTGGTGGTGGGGAGAGATGGCTTGGTCTGCGATGGCTGTGATGGGAGGGAGATGAGGCTGGCTGAGGTGGGGTCCTTGAGTCATTCCTAACCAAGCCGGGGACCCCGGCCCCTCTTCTCAGACAGGAAGGCCTGGGGGGAAACAGGAGAGGCCCTGCGGAAGAAATTTGGGGAGTTAAGTTTGAAAGATGTACCGAAAGGAAGGGTGGCTCCTTGGACTGTCCGAAGCCCAAGCGGGTGACCACAGTGTACGGTGAGGCTGACGAGCGCCAGGCGCTGCCACTCAGCGCTCTGGGAGCCTGGTTTTCACAGCCCTCTGGGGGCCATTGGGCAAAATCAGCAAAGCCCCGAGCGCACGTGGGAGCTGGCCACCCACCTCAGGAGTGTTTCTCATCGACGCTCTTGACATCCACGCAAAGGGATTCAGGGGCCAGCTGGTCACTTCAACTGTAGTAGCAAAATACTGGGAACTCCCTAAATGTCCACCATTAGGTACCAGGGAAATGGCTGCAGGGCGTCCAAACAACGGAGTACTGTGCAGCCGCAATGGAGAACATGGATGTGCTCTTGGTTCAGACTGGAAAATTGTTCTGACACATAATGCTGAGCTGAAGCACGATGCAGATGAGTTTGTGGTGTGCTGTCATCAAAGAAACAAAAGTGGGAAAAGATACACACTTGTGTCTGCACTTAGGCAGCCCGGAAGAATACGCCAGGGTCTAACACTGGCTGTTAGTGTGTGCACACGAGTGTGTGCCCACGAGCCAGGGAAGAAGAGGCGGGGGTTGGGGGAAGGCGAGGGAGGCAGAGGTTGAGAAGGAGCTATTTCACTGTCTGTCCTGTTTTCAGTTTTTCTTCCTGAACCATGTGAACGTGTTTGTTGTGCATGAACATTTTATAATCTAGCTTTTAACTGAGGCTGCTGGATGTTCGAGGTGTGAGGAGATGAGACTGTGTGTCTCGGGTGAGGGATGGCCCAGCGGTGTCGCACGCCCTTGAACTGGGTTCGTTAGCAGCCTTACGTTTTCTCCAGCCACGTTCAGTGCTCAGGTGCCAGCCTGGAGTCCCAGAGTCGGGTTTAATGGTGAACATGGGTTTGTTCAGGAGATCACACGAGGTGAGCAGAGCTAAGACGTGAGGGGCCCCCAGGAGAGATTACAGCCGTGGCCCTGGGGGTCAGGTCGCAGCAGAGCTGTCGGGGTGTGAGAGGGTCAGCGGCTGGGAAACGGTGCTGGGTCAGAGGACATGGTCCTGGGAGTGGTGGAGGATGGCTGGGGTCCAGGGAGGGAGTGAGAGGGTGGGTGTGGATGGAGGGGGCTCAGGTTGGACCCTTGCAGTCAAGTTCATGTTATTTACTGCTGCAGTTTCTGGCGAAGACACAGCGGGGGTACCACTCTGAGGAAGTATAGCTGAGCTGGTGGGGAACTGAGGGCTCAAGGAACCGGGAGGCAGTATGTGGATGCTGACGACGGGGTGGAGGGGGCAGCGGGCGGGGGCTGCCATCCTCTGAGAATGCCAGGGAGAGACCTGGAGGTGAGCAGACCACAGCCACGTCGAGGAAAGTGGAGGTGACGTGCCCACCAGTGTGGGCCTCAGCCCCTGGCTTCTGCCCCTTAGGGCAGTGAACAGTCCTCGGGTTTAGTGGATGGACCAGGCTTGTGCCAGAGCCCCACCTGGGAAGGCTGCCTGGGCGGGGATGACCCCAGGAAGGAGAGAGCCATGGTGCCCCATTCTCTAAGCCTTCCAGATGGGTGTAGAGCTGTACCTGCATTAATGACTGGTGAGTCAGGTGGTTAGTGGTCCTGAATGGATACTTATTTCCCCACAGAGACACCCTGAGGGTCCGGGACAGTGCAGGGTCAGAAGGATGCGGGGGTGTTCAGCTAAGATCTCCACTCCTGCGACTGCTCCTGTTGGGTGGAGGCACTGCGGGCTGCTGGTTTGGGGCTGGCCTTGGAGGCTGGACCCACCGTCTCTCTTGTCCAGCAGCCCTGGGCCCTGGGCCTCCACCACAGATATGTCTGAACCGTGGAAGTTTCAGGGTCGAGGAGGACGGCTGGGTCAGCTGACCTCTCATCTCCCAGGAGGCTGGCCTGAGCTGGCTCGCATGATGGGGGGAGGGTTCCAGCAGCAAGAGAGGGCAAGCTTGGCGCCCGAGCACTTTTTCTGCTTGTGTCACTTTTGCTAAGGTCCAGGGGTGGGGTCAGAGACAGTCACGTGACCGAGTTCAACTTCAAGGGCTGGAGAAACAGGCTCCCATCTGATGGGAGACGCTGGAGTCCGTTGTGTCCATTTCCCCCCACTACCTACCCTCTGACTACAGTTATTTAAATTCCTCCCTCATGAAAAACGTTACCCCCAACCCCAGAGCTCCCAAGCTCTCATCCAATTGTGAATCGGGCTGGCTGTTTGTCATCTCGTGCTCTTCAATGGGACGGAACATAGCTGGCTTCTCAGCTCCTTGGGCGCAGCAAGTCTTGATCCAGAGGCCTGTGGACTACAAAGACTAGTTAGATGCACAAGACGCAGAGGACAAGATGGCGGCAGTTAGCAATGCTGTGCAAAGGGGTGGGGGCGGGGGCGGGAGGCAGTTCTGAAGGCTGCTGCTGCATGCTGCCCAACCCCCTATTCTGAGAGAGGGCAGTATATTCCCTGGGGTGCTCACTATTATCCGTCCTTCTTGACAGCTCAGGACTCCACCATCTCCCCTCTGCTCGTGGCTCTGCCCTCTGAGGGTCCTTCCTCGGCCATAACAAATGGCCCATGCTTGGAGCCGAGCACCTTTCTGGTCTTTTATCATTCAGGGTCCAATCAAGAGGTGGAAACTACACAATAGTTGGGACAGGGGACATTTATTTTATTTATTTATTCTGGGGGGAGGTAATTAGATTTTTATTAATTAGTTGATTAATTAGTTAACTTTTAAGGGAAGCACTGGGGATTGAACCCAGAACCTCCTGTATGTCAAGCATGTGCTCTACCACTGAGCTGTGCCCTCCCCCTCCCCCAGGACAGGGAGCACTTAAAGGACTGTGGCAGGGGATTGGCTAATAAGGATGAGGAGACTGCAAACACAGGCAGAGTGGAGACTGGGTGCCGCCCTCCCGAGGGCCGAGGCAGAGCTCGGAAAAGGAAGAGCAAGCCTGGAAGAGTCCCCTCACCTCTAAGGCAGCCCTGGGATTGGATTCAGGCCTCGGGGAAGAGTTCGCAGCCCTGGTGACATTCAGGGAGGTGCTCTGCCTGCAGAGCTTGCAGGAGTCACTCCCTAGGATGCCAGGTGAGCCAGGCACAGGCAGACGCTGTGCTCAGGACTTGCTGCAAAGCCACCCAAAGAGATGGGGGAGGAAGCATCCATGGGGAGATGTGCCAGGTAGCCCCCAGCCAACAGGTATGAAGCAGAAGAAAATCACCTTCCTGGGTCATTGTCCCCCCCCCCCAGACGCCCCCTGCTGGCAAAGCTGAGCACTCTGCAAGAGAGAACCATTCCAGAATCCGCAAGCAGGCGATGAGAAGAGTTTGGACTGGCAGGTGCAGGGGGGGTGGGGCAGTAGAGTGACATCGGGCAACCAGCTTCCACGTGCATCCTTCCACACACATTTAGCCTTTCACAAGCACCACATGTCTGTCCCTCCTACAAGTGAAGACGCTCTCATCCTTCCTCCAAAATGAGGCGTCACGGTCCCGAGTTACTGTAACCCTCACTGGCTCTGTTCATTGGCCCACTGGATTTTCTGTTACCTGAAGATGGAACTGCAAAGTTAATCACCAGCAGATTGCACGGACAATCACAAGGTCACGGAAAGAAGAGAGGGACATGGTTAGCATGCGCAAACAAACACATTAAACAAGCAAAGGAAACTGGACAAAGCTACCATTGCCCTGGTTTCTGAACAGCTGGGTTGCCAGGCTCGGTGCCTGTGGCTTCCGTCTCCCATTACTCATCCTTCTTCCCTTGCTCAGCCCGGATTTTCCCTGCTCTAGGCCAGAACCCAGCAGGGTGGGATCTTTACGTGATGAAATGAGCTGAGCCTTCATTCCCGAAGGGCCGGAGTCCCCAGCCGTGCTGCCTTTCTGTGGCTGACAGAGTTTTCCCTGAGCTATTCCCGTGGGTCCTGGAAGTGGAGAAGAGCTGCAGAGAATGCGCTGCTTTCCTGCCTGAGTCTCCTGTCCTTCCTGCGAAGCAGCAAGTTTCCCCGCTGTGATCAGACCCCTCACTCCAGCCACAGAGCAATCCCTGGTCGGCCTTTTGCTTCAGCGGCATAAGGAGCCCCAAAGGGTCAGGTGGTAGTCCTGTCCTTCAATTTAATAAAGCCCCTTTGTGCCCCCGGCCACAGGATTCCCCCCCTCAAATCCGCAGAACTCCAGGACCTGCCACAACTCCATGCTGGGTCCTCGGACCCATGCGTTTCAGCCGTGGTGGAAACAGACCCAAAGAATGGTCTCTGACTAACCCTGTGAAACAGAGCCTCCCCATTCCTCAATGTTGTCACCCAAATGCCACCATAATCAAGTCTTTACTAAGTCACTCAGCCTTCCCGTCAGGCCAGTCACTTCCAGGGGATCAGGTATGTGGTGAGACCAGTGAGCTCCATGGCCATGAGCCCAAGCTGCTGCGTTTCCTCGGCTGTGAAATGAGCTCCTCGGGCAGAAGCGGTGGCGTGTGGGGCACTGTGATGGCAGGGAAGGCATTCCGAGGGTCTGTGAGTTGTGATACTGACAGCGCGTTGCAGACAAGGAAGCCAAATCCGTGTCCAGAATGCATCTATTCCAGGGAGGATGAATCATTGCCCCTCCATGATGGAAGAGGGCCGATGTAATCAACCTGCTCCCAGAGGACTGGCTGCTGTCCCCAGGGAAGATGCCCTCGAGAGCAAAGTGCTGGCCTCCGCTGTCGTCAGCTAAGGCTCTGGGAAGCAGCCAGAGCTGCTGGTAAGAGGACGCCTATGTTGTTGACCCCGTGCATGGCCTCTGTCCCCATTGGCATAGCTACTTTGTTCGTGGGTCCATTGAGAAAGCACTGGGTAGCTGGAAAAAGCAGTTCTTATGGGTTGAACTGGGTCCCTCTCCCCCACTCACACTGAAGTCCTAATGCCCAGTACATGAGAATGTGAACTCGTTTGGAGACAGGATCTTTACTGAGGTAATTGAGTTAACATGAGCCCATCAGGGTGGTCTCTGTCCAATTTGACCTTATAGAAAGGGAGAGTTTGGGAACAGACACGCAGGGCAAACGCCATGTGAAGGTGAAAGCAGAGATTGGGGCAATGCTTCTTGAAGCCAAGGAACACCAGAGATCTACAGAGGACCTCCAGAAGCTAAGTAAGAAGCATGGAACAGAATTCTTCTCACAGCCCTCGGAACTGGCTACTGTTAGCCCTGCCAACAACTTGCTCTCGGACTTCTAGCTTCCAGAACTGTGAAACGTACATTTCTGGTGTTGAGTCCCCCCAGTGTGTGGTGCTTTGTTAAGGAAACCCTAGCAAATTATTGCAGAGGCTGACAGACATCTCTACAGAATTTCATCCTTTTACCCAATTAACGAGCCTCTTCCAAAGGGCATGCTTCTTGATAAATATTCATGTTTCTGCCTGCATCCACTTTGAGGGGTCCATCTACATGCTTCTTCCCCTAGATTTTCTTGCAGTCAAAATCCCAATTCTGTTGGTGATCATCCACCCAAACTGTTAGAAACCAGATTAGCACAGATCTGTCCCTGTGGTCATCTCTCACTGTAGACGTAGCGGACAGCCAAACGTGTGGCCCAGAGTCCTGCACCCTAGGGGGCTCCTCCTTCGTCTCTGTGCTTCAGGGTCACACTGAGTAGGGCTGCAGCACTGCAGCTGTCCACTTTCAGGTGGAACGTGATGACAGGAAAGCTGCTGGACACACCAAGCCTCAGGGCTGGGTGGTTCTAACAGCCCTCAGCTCACGGTGGGAAGCTTGGGCTCGATGTCCCCTGGTGGGGCATGAGGTCTCCACCAAATCCCAAATGAAGACCAGAAGCAGCTTCTCAAAAGGAAGACAGTCACCTGCAGAAGAGAGCACACACTTGCTCCAGAACCTTAGAGCTCTGCTGTGGTCTTCCTGTCGGTGGGCCTTGGGTACTTTGCGCATCACTGGGTCTGCTGGATCAGAGGCCCCAGGGGCAGAGCGGTTTGCCTGTGTGGCGTGGCTGAGCCTGTAGAGCCTTCCCTTGCTCTGATCTCCTCTTGAAACTGGTTACCATATGGATGACTCTGCAGATGGATGACACCATAGCACACCAGAGCATGTTGCTTCCAACGTCCAAAAAGAGCTACCAAACATTTGCCTTTTTTTTTCCTGGTAGGTGGTAAGAGGTGCAACAATTTGCCTTTCGCCTTATAGGGGATCTTTTTAGTTCTCCAGACCAAATAACTCTCAGAAACTTTGAAATCACAGGCCCCTAAATGTTGGGGAGGTTGTCTCCCACCCTGCAGTTCACACTTGTCTCATTAAGGCACCTGAAGTACTTGCTATTTTCTGTTTATCAGATCCAATCAGCATGATGTCACCAGTGCAGTGTACCAGATGTGATTTCTTGTAGAATAAGATAAAAAAAACAATTCATAGAGATAAAAACTTGAATGGTGGTTGTCAGGAGCTGGGGAGAGAAGGGAATGAAGAGTCATTGTTTAATGGGTACTGAGTTTCGGTTTTGCAAGATGAAAAAAGTTTAGGAGATGGCGGTGATGGTTGCACAACAATGTGAAGGTACATAATGCTACTAATTGGTATACTTTAAATTGGTTAAATTTTACATTATGTGTACTTTACCAAAATTTTAAAAATGAATAAAGAAAAAAAGTAAATTAAATATAGATTAAAATAAAAGATCTTGGTGTTTTTATTAGACTATCTTTAAAAAAGTCACTGCAAGGGGGGAGGGTATAACTCAGTGGTAGAGTGTATGCTTAGCAAGCACAAGGTCCTGGGTTTAATCCCCAGTACCTCCATTAAAATAAATAAGTAAATAAATAAACCTAATTACCTCCCCCCAAAACCAAACCAAACCAAAACAAACAAACAAAAAGTCAGTGTATTAAGACCTTGATACTCATGGAATGGTCAAAATATTAGAAGCATGGCATCCCCTGGAAGATTTTTAGAAATGCAGAATGCCTGCCTCAAAACTACTGGATGACTCAGCCATAAAAACTGACAACATAACGCCACTTGCAGCAGCATGGATGCTCCTGGAGAATGTCATTCTAAGCGAAGGAAGCCAGAAAGAGAAAGAAAAATACCATATGAGATCGCTCATATGTGGAATCTAAAAAACAAAAACAAACAAAAACGAAGCATAAATACAGGACAGAAATAGACTCATGGACAGAGAATACAGACTTGTGGTTACCAGGGGGGTGGAGGGTGGGAAGGGATAGACTGGGATTTCAAAATTGTAGAATAGATAAACAAGATTATACTGTATAGCACAGGGAAATATACACAAAATGCTATGATAACTCACAGAGAAAAAAATGTGACAATGAGTGTGTATATGTCCATGAATGACTGAAAAATTGTGCTGAACACTGGAATTTGACACAACATTGTAAAATGATTATAAATCAATAAAAAAATGTAAAAAAACAACTACTGGATCAGAACCTGTAAAGGAACAATCTCTAGGTGACTCATATGCAAGTTAAATATTTTTCACAGCTTTTAGAAAATCTTAAGTTACAAATATTTTTGAAAAGATAATAGAGACTTATGTGGACTGTATTGTGGCAGAGCAGGAGGATTTACATAGTTACAAGCTGACATTGTGAAAGTATACTGTTGGCCCTGCCAGGTAAAAGCAAACTGTTTCTGATGGTCCTTGAAAATTAGTATGGAGAAAAAGACGGCCAACAGCTACGTACCTAGTGCCAGGGCCACGCTGATTTGCTCCAGTAAACTTACTGCATCTGGGACAGCAGATACAAATGGAGTCACCACCCAGTCACATTTATTGCAGTTCATAGTCATTCTCCCAGATCCATTCAACATCTGCACAGGCTGAGCAGGTGAGTGGGATGTATGGGAATGGAATGGGTATTCCCAGTCCTGCTTCTTTCAAATCTTCATTGGCGGCATTCATCTCTGCAATTACCCAGGGACACAATCGGGCCCAGGCCTAGGATGAAGCAGTGAGGCACCAGGGCACAAAATTCAAGGAGGTGCTCATCTCAGGGTCACGCAAATACCAAACCTGCACTTAAAATTTGTACCCTTGGTGCCTCACTCCCAAGGAGACACCCACTCCCAGGGTTATACAAGCAAATTGTTGGAAATTAATATATGCATCCAACATTGGTGGGACTGTAACAGCACAAAATTTCTGGAAGACATTTGGATATTTATTTTTAAAAATGTAATTCTAAGGTTTCAAAATTGTCTTGTAACTTTTCACAAATCTGTTTTGTCCTGTGCATTTTTTAAATTTCAATTTATATTCTTACTAGACTAACATTGTAAACATTGTTCAAAAAGTCAAATAACAGTTTTAGGCTTATAGTTACAAAGTCTGTTCTCTGCCCCCTGCCACCATCACCACCCCAGCCATCCCCTTTCACTCTACCTGTGAATTCTGGTCCACCTTCTTGATTTTTAGTTTCAGATGTTCTCTATTCAGTTGTTATCATATATAGGTCTTGAACAATTCTTTTTAAACTTATTACCAGGCTTTTCATGGTTCTAGCCTATATTGTCTATATTGTGAATCAGACCTTTTCCCATAAAAATTATCTTAAGAGGTCATGGGCGTCAAGTGTTAATCTGTTGAGTTTTGTACATTTGTCTTGTAATCAGTGACCTTAGCAGATTGCATTGTTCTAAAAGGCTTTTAGTTTAGTTTCTTTGATTCTCTAAGTGAACATTTCTGTCATTGTTGGGGGAGGATTATGCATTTATACGCACACTGTGTAATGTCTGTATAGAATGCACACACCTTGGCGAGGACCCTGGGAAGAGGGCAGAACAGGAGGCACGGGAATCTGTTGCCCTCCTAGACGGCAGTCGCACTGCAGTCTGTCTGATGCAATAAGTTTGGAACTCGAGTCTGCTGAAGGCCTGTAACTTCTAGGAAAATATGTGCATGATGCATTGCGACTCAACTCTGGTCAGTTTCAGCTCTTAGCACGGTGGCAGCTACCCATTCCCCACCCCCAGCCGTGTGGCAGGCAGCTATTTGCATGTTCCTGGAGCAGCCTGGGCACAGCACGTGGGCGTTAGGGTGGCCAAAGAGAGTTCTGTCCTCCAAATATTAAGCATCTATGACTGTTGTGTCTGGTCACAGAAGTGCAGACAAAGAGGCAGCAGCTATTGTCATTGCAACCCCCACCATTGCTTCAAGCCTTTCTCCCTCTGGCTGAAGCGACTTGGAGGGGATTTAACGGGCCATTGCCCCCTCCCTTTGTTTTCTGCTTTTTCCTCTTTTGGGAGCAAGACATTAAAGACTAGGGCATTCAAAAATCAACTGCATATATGGGGGAAATCAATAAGTGACAGTGCAGACCTAGGAAAGGCTCAGAAAGACATTACATTTACACCCCAGGTTGATCCTCAGCACAGAGACAGGGTTCAACAGTAAAATAAATAAATAAATAAATAAATAAATAAATAAATAAATAAATAAATAACAAAAACCATCAAACCCTGGGGAAGGAGAAAATCTGATTTCCAGAGTTACTACATTATTAGATTGAAATAATGATTGAATAATAGATTGAATTTCTAGTGTCCAGCACTCTTCCTGAAAAAGATCTGACAGCAGATAAACTAGACAAAGACTTTAAAACAACAATCCCAAAGATGCTCAAAGAACCAAAGGAAGATGTGAAGAAAGTCAAGAAAATGATGTATGAACAAAATGGAAACATCAATAATGAGACAGAAAACCTAAAAAGAAACCAAAAATGAATTGAAAACGAAAGAAGAGGGATTCAAAGGCAGATTTGGGCAGGTAGAGGAAGGAATCCGTGAACTTGAAGGTGGACAATGGAGACTATTGAGGCTGAGGAACAGAAAGAAAACAGACTGAAAAAAAGAGGCCTGTGGGACACCATCAAACAGACCAACATATGCACCATAAGCATCCCAAAGGGAAAGAGAGAAAGTGGTCGAGAGAATATTTGGAGAAATAAAGGCTGAGGACTCCCCAAATCTGATAAAAGGCATGACTTTAAGCATTCAAGAAGCTGAACAATCTTTAAGTAAACGAGACTCACACCACGGCCGTTATAACCAAACTTTCAAAAGACAACGACAAAGAAAGAATCCTGAGAGCAGCAAGAGAGCAGTGGACCATCACGTACACGAGATCTTCAGGAAGGTCGTCAGCAGATTTCTCATCAGAAATTTTGGAGGCCAGGAGACAGTGGGCAGATATCTGCAAATGCTAAGCTAAAAAACCATCCACCACGCAAAACTGTTCTTCAAGAGTGAGAGAGAAATGAACATAGTCCCAGAAAAACAAAACTGAGAGACTCCACGGCCACCCGACCTGCCCTGCAAGAAATGTTCAAGGGAGCCACACGAAATGAAAGGAATGGACGCTGGACAGTCACTTGAAGCCGTGCGGAGAAATAAAGGGCTCAGTAAAGGTAAACACACGGGCAGTTATAAACGCCATTGTAGTAACCGTCATTTGTAACTGTTCTTTGGCTTGATTTCTACAAGATTAAGAGACTAACACATTTAAAGAAAAAAACAATGACTGGTGTAACGCCCGTGTTACTGCACTTGGGTCTGTAAGTCCCAATCTTGTTTTCTACACAGTTTAGGAGAATAGCGTGTTTAAAAGAGCTATTAGTTCGTGTTCTCGGGGACACAAACGCAGTGTAAGGACCCAGCATCAAGCTTCTGACTGCAGTGTGAGAGCTGAGGCACCTGTTTCAAAACATACACACTAAGAAAAACACTGCCAGCTGCGTGAAGCAGCTGCTATGAACAGCCAGTGAAGGGGCCAGGCCACCGCACCCACGAAGTCCCCCGTTCAGGACACTATGGAAAACCTAAAAAATGGACAACGTGAGTGACTCCACCTCCACTCTCCCTCACCCGAACTCCTACTCTGATGTTTCAAATTAGCCAGTGATGAGTGACCTACAAAACCCCAGACACCAGCCTTGGACCACAACAAGGGTAAAGCCCCAGGTTTTCTCTCTCTCGCTCAACCTCGCTATGCGGCCCTCGGATGTGCTGTGTAACCCTCCAGGACCTGCGAGTAATACAGCTTGTTCCTCAAAGTTCCCTGATGGTTTTATGCTAAAGTGCACCCTGAAATCGTAATAAGAAACACAAGGCCAGCCCAACCACAACATTGGCCCTGGTAGGGGAAAGGACTGTGGCGGTCACTATGAGTAACGCAGGTCCAGGCCGAGCCTCAGACATTCCTAGCTGAGAGCATTACCATCGGCAGGCTGGGATTGACAGAACAACAACGTATAAAGGTGAGATTTTGCAACACTGACCATGAAGGAGGTGAGGGCAGAGCTGTAAGAGAGCAGGATGTTGTATGCTATTGAAGTTAAGCTGGTATCAATTTAAATTAGGGTGCTATAACTTTAGGATGTTAAATGTAAGCCCCATAGTAACCCAAAAGAAATGCTATAGGATATACACAAAAGGAAACAAGAGGGGAATTTAAACATTTCACTACAAAAAATCAACTAATCACAAAAGACAGTAATGCAGGGAATGAGGGACAAAAAAGCTGTAAGACATACAGAAAACTAAAGTACATTACAGAAATCTCTATTAATTTTTTTTCCTTTTTTACATTTTTTGGTTGGTTGGCTTTTTTTTGGAGGGGAGGTAATTAGGTTTGTTTGTTCGTTTATTATCTTTTTCCCTCAACTTTATTAGCCTGGAGTTCCTCCCTGCCAACCCCATGGGCTGGTCCCCAGGTACAGTGAGCAGGACTGAGTAATTATTTATTTATTTTAAATGGAGGCACTGGGGATTGAACCCAGGACGTCATGCATACTAAGCACGCACTCTACCATTGAGCTATACCCTCCCCCTAGTAATTACTTTTGATGTAGATGGATTGAACATTCAGTTAAAAGACAGAGACTGGCAGAATGGATAACTACATGTGATCCAACAATATACTGCCTATAAGAGACTCAAGATCCAAAGACATGAACAAGTTAAAAGTGAAAGGATGGAAAAAGATATTCCACGCAAATAATAACCAAACGAGAGCAGAAGTGGCTATACCAATATCAGATGAAATAGATTTTAAATCAATCAAGTTTTCTAGAGACAAAGTAAGAGATGTTAATGAGAGTTTCAATACAGCAGGAAGATATAAAAATTATAAATCTTTACACACCCTTACAGACCACCACAATATATGAGGCAAAAACTGACAAAATTGAAGAGAGAAATAGACAGTTCTACAATAATAGCTGGAGACTTCAGTACCCCACTCACAATAACGAAACAATCAGACAAAAGATATGTAAGGAAACAGAGGACTTAACACAGACTAGATCTATCAGACACATACAGAGCACTCTGCCCAGTAACAACAGGACACGAATGCCTCTCGTGTGCACACGAGACATTTTCCAGATGGATCGTAAGGTAGGTCACAAGATAAATCTCAGTCAGATTTAACAAATTTTTAGGTTTGTTGAAATAGATTTTAAAAGGCAAATATCATACAAAGTGTCTTCTCTGACCACAATGAGATAAAGTTAGAAACCAACAAGAGTACAACTAGAAAACTGACAAAATTGTGGAAATTAAATACACTTTTAAACAACAAATGGATCAAAGAGCTCACATGAGAAATCAGAAAATACTTAAGAGTTGAATGAAACTGAAAACACAACATACCAAAACTTATGGGATGCAGCAAAAGCAGTGATAAGGGCAAATTTATAGCTATAAATGCTTACATTAAAAATCAAGAAATATCTGGAATCGACAACCTAACTTAAATGAACTAGAAAAAGAAGAACAAATAAAACCCAAAGCTACAAGAAGGAAGAAAATAATAAAGATTGGAGCAGAGATAAATGAACTGGGGATCAGAAGGACAATAAAGAAAATCAATGAAATCAAAAGTTTATTCTTCAAAAACAACAAGAAAATTGACAAACCTTTAACTAGATGGACTAAGAAAAAGAGAGAAGATTAAATTACTAAAATCAGAAATGAAAGTGGGGACATTACTACCAATTATACAGAAATAAAATGGATTATAAGAGAGTAGTATGAATAATTATATGCCAAAAATTGGGTAATCTAGATGAAATGGACAGATTCTTAGAAATGCAAAACCTACAAAGACTAAATCATGAAGAAATACAAGTCATATATTAAAAACCCACAGCAAACGTCATACTCGGTGGTGAAGGACTGAAAGCAGTTTCCTCTAAGATCAGGAATAAGGCAAAAGAAGGATGCCCACTTTCATCACTTCTGTTCAACACGGCACTGAAAGTTCCAGTCAGAGCACTGGGCAAGGAAAATAAACAAAAGCCATCCAAATTAGAAAGGAAGAGGTAAAATTATCTCTGTTTGCAGATGATATGATCTTATACATAGAAAATCCTAAAGACCCCCCCCCAAAAAAGTTGTTAGAACTAATAAATGAATTCGGCAAAGTTAACAGGATACAAAGTTAACATGCAGAAGTCAGTTGCATTGTATGCGAACAATGAGCAATATGAAAAGGAAATTTTAAAAAAATGTTTACTATAGCAAAAAAAGAATAAAATACTTAAGAATTAACCTAACCTAGAAGGTGAAAGACTTGGACAATGTAACTATGAGACACTGCTGGAAGAAATTAAAGAAGAAACAAGTGAATGGAAACACATCCCATGTTCATGGACTGGAAAACTTCATATTGTTAAGATAGTAACACTACCCAAAGCACTCTGCAGATTCATTTCAACCCCTATCAAATCCCAAATCCTGGCAAATAATGACATATTTGCAGAAATAGAAAAACCCATTCTAAAATTCACATGGAATCTCAAGGGACCCCAAGTAGCCAAAACAATCCTGAAAAAGAACCAAACTAAGAACTCACATGCCCTGATTTCAAAACTTACTACAAAGCTGTAGTAATATACACAGTTGTGACTTTGGCAGAAAGACAGATAGAGACCAATGGAATAAAAGGGAAGCCCGGACACAGACCTGCACATACACGGTCTGATGATCTTCGACAAGGGTGCCAAGACCATTCCGTAGAAGAACGGTCTTCTCAACAAACGGTACTCAGAAAACTGAATTTCCACATGCAGAGAATGAAATTGCACCCTCATCTAACACCATTTACAAAAATTAGCTCAAAATGAATCGAGGACCTAGTGCTAGACCTAAAACTACAAACTCTTAGAAGAAAACGTAGATCAAAAGCTTCACAATATTGGACTTCACAGTGATTTCTTGGCATTTTACCAAAGGCACAGGTAATAAAATAAAAAACAGAGGACTTGGACTTCATGAAATTTTAAACTTTGTGCATCAAAAGGCAGTACCCACAGAGTGAAAATGCAGCCCTCAGGATGGGAGAAAATGTCTGCAAACCACATGTCTGACGAAGGCTTAATATCCGGGATTTTAAAGAACTCCTAAACCTCAACAATCATAATATCATTAAAAACACCAAAACACCTGGCTCAAAAACGCGCACAAAAGACCCGAATAGACATTTCTCCAGTGAACAGCCAGTAAGCATGTGAAAAGATACTCAGTATCACTAATCACTAGGAAAATGCGAGTCAGAACCACAAGGAGACACCGCCTCACGCCGGTTAGGCTGGCTACTGTCAAAAACTAGAAGGCAGCAAGTGCTGGTGAGGCGCTAGAGAAGTCGGAACGCTGTACACTGTCACTGAGAGTGTGAAATGATACAGCCACTGGGGAAAACATATGGTGGCTACTCAAAAAATCTTAAAAGAATACCGTATGATCCATTATTCTACTTCTGGGGATACACCCAAAAGAAGTGAGAGAAAGGAGGAACTCAAGGAGATACACGCTCACCCATGTTCACAGCAGCATTATTCACAGTAGCTAACACCTAGAAGCAACCCCAGTGCCCATCAGTGGGTGAATGGGTAAGCACAATACGGTTCATCCATATGATGGAATTAAAACGGAATTGAATGGAGTTCCACTGAACTAAAATGGATTAATTATTCAGTCTTAAAAAGGAAGGAAATTCGGCAATACACTGCAACATGGATGAACCTTGAGAACCTTATGCTAAGAGAAATAAGGCAGTCACAAAGGACAAACACTATATGATATCACCTAGATGCAGTACTTAAGAGAATTCAGAATCATAAAGACAGGATGTGTAATGGTGGTGGCCAGGGGCTGGGGGAGGAGAGAGCAGGGAGTTACCGTTCAATAGGTACAAAGTTTCAGTTTTACAAGATGTAAAGGGTTACTGGGGCTGGATGGGGATGACACCAGAACAACAGCATGAACATATGTATTCAATGCCACTGTAACTTTAAAATGGCTCAGATGTGCATTTTGCCACACACACGAAATACACACGTATCCTGTATACTGTGTGTACAGCATGTGTGTAAACCGTCAGTACACAGTCTCGTTGTTTGTTGGGGAACCAGTACCCGAGCTACCTGGGCACGACCTGACCTTGGCAGGAAGGCGAAGATCAAAGCGTCCTCATCATTTCTGAAGAAGATAATGTGGAGAACGCGGCAAGCCTGAGGACGCTGTGCTGTCGGACACTGAGCACCTCTGCTGGCAGGCGGACGTCCTTGGAGCTGGGCAGCGATGCTTCCCTCAGGCAGATCCCCCCTTGGAGACTTAAGGAGATGAGCAGAAGAAATTTAACAAGTAAAAGAGAGAGAAAGGGGCTTAATATCACCACCCAATTCCGCCTTCTCCCCAGGGGAGGGGTGGAGGAGGGTAAGAGGGACAAGGTCAGGGCCATGGCTCTCATGATCGTCACCAAATCATGAAGAGGCACGCATGCCACCCACTGCCCTGCACACACACTTCCCCCTTTGCCGTACGTCTGGGAGTAATTTCCACATCAGAACTGAGAGAACGTCCACCTTCCCTTTCACAGCTGCATAGTGCTCCACTGTTTGGACGCGCTGCAGTTATTTCCCTGGTGAATACAGATGGCGTTTTAGGGAGTTTCCAATATTTTGCTATAACAATCAAAGTGACTAGCTGGTACCTGCGTCATTTTGCATGGATGTTATATTGATAAGATACTTCCCTAGAAGGGGCATGGCTGGTTCCGTTTGTGCATCTGTCACCTTGACTGGCACTGCCCAACGACCCGCCAGAGTGGCTGTGAAATTTACACTTTCAAACGGCGAGGGAGAGCGCCTGGTGGCTGGCAGCCTCGCCATTAGAAAATGGTAGCCCATCTGGCCAAGAAAGCTAATCCATCTGTGTCCGGGGATGGGTGAGCAGGCAGGGCTGGGGGAGAAGGACTCCAGGGGGCATGGGGAAACTTCATGATGGTGAGAATGTTCCTTTTTTTTAATATTT